AGAAATGGACTATATTTAACCACCGGTACGTTTCCCTGCTTGGAAAACAAATAGACGCCAGTTAACACGGGGGATCGGAGCAGGGAACGACCCGACCGTACGACCGAGTGTGAAGAAAGATAAAAAAAAAAAAAAAAATAAGGAAAAGAAAAAATATATATATATAAATCTATCGACCTAACTCAGTTGGTAAGGCTCACAATTTGCATTCATGGGGTCATGGGTTCAATCCCCATTGGCCTCATGTACCTTCTTGAGCATGCTTGGCGCCCGCCACCTAGAGATAGACCACTGTATCCCTCGATCGGCATGGGAGGGACCAACCCAACTGCATAAATGCCCTCGTCTCTTTTTTGAACTTGAAAGAACTTGGTCCCATGGCGGTTTGTAGTTGAGGCGTGTCTTAGCGAGCGTGGAAAATAACTGTTGTCGTAGCTTCTTTCTTGTTTTGCTAAAAGTGGGGAAGGGAGATTTGGCGCGATTATCGCGCGGGAGAAATCTTTTTGAATTTTGAAATATGGGGGAATACGAAAATTAGGACTTTAGATGAGTTAGGAATTGAGGGTATCACGATTTTGTCACGGATTTTTGTTGCTGTAATCGCACGATGCTCCTTACTCGCGGGCACATTGTGACGTCCTGTCATGCACTCTGCTTCTGTCGCGTCTAAATTCTAATTGCAACTGTAATCTCTTTTTGGTCCTTCTTGGCAAGCGCGGACGTAACTGTAATCTTCTCCTTTCTCTTCACGCTAAAATCTGCGCATCTTTTCTGTCTATGTCATTGGCCGAAAAGATGCATGGCTGGATCGATGCATGGAGAGCTATGAAACACCCGCGGACGCATCCGCGGGGTCGATCTCGGATGGCGGACGCATATACGTCCGCGTCCGCGGCCAGCCTGGTTTGCGCCGCGGACCCGATTTTACGTGATTTTTCCTGAATTAGATAATGGGTAAATATATATATATATGGGGTTGTAGGGAATTTTAATCCCTACAACCCCATAATTGTTTTTTAGGAAACATATATTTTTTTGGAATTATAAAAAATAAAAACAAGAAAAGGTGGAGAAGAAAAATTTAAAAATAAATTTAAGAAAAAGTTTTTTTTTTTGGGGGGGGAGGCGGGGGGGGGG